CAGAAACTGTTCAACAGCAGCAACAGCCACCTCGAGGACTACAGCAACATGTCCGTGTCCTGGTCCCAGTTCAACAGGGTGAGGAGCCCGGGCCCTCAGCTGCTGTTAGATCAGTGCTTCCAGCTCCTTCCAGGAGTCTCCCTGCAGAGGGTCCTTATTCTTCCTGTCTCTAATAAAATGTACCAAAAGCAATAGAAGCTTCTGAATAGATGGACAACTTGATAGATATTCAGGTCTCATGTACAAAATTACATCTTTGTATATTTTGAGTAAGTTGGGCTCTATGTGCCTTCAGTGCATTTTCTCCCTTCGTAAAGGAAACAGCAAAGCAGACGTTGGTATAACTCAGGAGAAGGGAGGCTTCTGAGATGATTGGAATTTTGAGGCTCTGTCCCATGCCCTTTCTGGTGCTTCTTGGTATATGATGCCAGGTCAGGCTCCCATGGGACCCTCAGCCTACAAAACAGGATGCTCATGAAAGAGACTTCTCCTCCAGCGTCTGGTAATTCAGATGGCACAAGTCAAATCTTTTTTCTAAGGTCATGTCAGATAGCCAAGTGTCTTAAATGTCCTTAGATCAGAGAGCTCATGGTCTGAGTCTTTTAAAGAGTTTTGTGCTAACAAGTTGGCCAACAGTTTTGCGGATAGGTTTGATAAGAGAAGCAGGAGGTCTCAACCATCTTATCTTTGCCTTTGCAGTAAGGCCCCCTTCCTCCTGATAGAACCAGGTAACTGCATCTTGCCGATGACCGTTGGAACATCTGTGTGATGAAGCCACATCCATGGCCTTACAGGGTGATCTAATCCAATTCATCCTTACAAATCAACTGGGCATCTTGTTAAAAGGCAGGCTGTGATTCAGCAGGTCTGAAATGGAGCCTGAAAAATTTGGATTTCTCAGAAGCTCCCGGGTGACGCTAAAGCTACTGGTCATAGACCAGACAGCAAAAATAGACAGGGACCAGTCAGCCCAGATCCAGGTGAAAGTGTTTGTATTAACAATAGGAGTTTATATTAATAGCAGGTTGTTGGCAATGACACTTTGGTATCTTCCCCTCCTTCCCTCTTTTCCTCTCCATTTCTGTGTTTGGTTGTAGGGCCATTAGGTTAAACTCTGGCAGGCATTTATATTTGTGTGCTTCTGACAGTGCGATGTTTGTTTTCCATTTGATTTTTCCAGTTAAAATATGTGCATATAATATTCCAAGGGTTACTCTTACGTTCTTGGGTTCGTTGTTGTGTCTCCAACCAGGAGAATTTACCGGGACGGAATTACACTTTCTGGCAGTGGTTTGACGGTGTGATGGAAGTGTTAAAAAAACATCTCAAGCCTCACTGGAACGATGGGTGAGAATTGTCATTTCCCAGTAGAGGATGAAGGTCTTCTTTCTGGCATTGATACGTCGTCACACTCTGCTTCTGTCCTTTGTGATCCAGGGCCATTCTGGGGTTCGTGAACAAGCAACAGGCCCACGACCTGCTCATTAACAAGCCAGATGGGACCTTCCTGCTGAGATTCAGTGATTCAGAAATTGGTGGCATCACCATTGCATGGAAGTTTGATTCTCGTGGGTGCCCTTTTTTTTAAGACATACCTTGCTTTTGTGTCCAAAGTTAGCCACTTTTGTTGCAAAATTACTGTAGCAGACAATTTATTGAGTTCTTATTTGTTGGGGACAGTACTAATTATGGGAGACACAAATGTATAACTATGACATAGCTGCTTGTAATACAGCAGCCTATGATAAGTATTCCGACGGGAAACACAGTTACTAATTTCGGGAAACGTGAAAGTATAACCATGACATGGGTATCTGTAATATAGCAGTCAGTGCAGATCTCAGTTGCTTCCCTCTTGAAATGTTGGCCTTATTACTGCTCAACCTGGAGTTTATTTCAGTGAAGAACTACTTGGATGATTTTGAGTCCTTCGAGTGTAATAATATGCTATTTTGGTCATTC